GATATCATTGAAAATCCAATAGATAGCTACTTAATCCTTGTATTTATTGTTCCTTGAGTAAAGCCTAATATATAAGACAGGACGAATTTATGTTTTTCTTCTTATGAACCTCATATCTTAGGTAAGGCTGGTGTATGTTATTCTGCGTGTAAAGCCTAATTTGTAAGGTAGAACGAATGTATGTTTTTTTCTCTATACAAGTCTGATACCTAAGACAGAGGTAATATGCGTTTTATTATTAATGTATGGGCATAATCTTTAGGGCAGGTCCGATATATCTTTTCTCTGTATGACGCGTAATTTCTTAGTTGATCAGATCTTTTTTTGTAAATGAACCTTAATTTCTAAGGTACGGACGAATGCACGTTTTTCTCAGATTGAAGCCTAATTTCTAGCAAATCTAAAAGTCAACTTAAAAAATTAAAATAAGTGTCTTTACTCAAATAGAATCATTTTCGTTCGTAGATACTGAAACTTTAAAGTGGATATTTCGAAATATAACAGTTTAACATTTTCTCGTACAACGCACATTTGTATAATTTTTAATATTTTATTTGGTATGGTAACCAGTTGGTACGATTACACATGGTGATGCGATCTGTGTCGACTGACGACGTAAGAAATGGACGAATCAGAAAACACCTGGCGGCAGATAATCGTCACAGTCTATATTTCCGTGTGGTCGGGGAGGATAGAAACAGAAGTACGTATTTTTGTGTCAGGTTCTTTATTTCGAATCGGATTAATTTGACTTTTAATTCCATACGAAAGCTAAAGCTACATATTTGATATATTTCCTTTATAATATTCTTCTTATGTATTTGTATGTGTGTGTGTGTGTGGGGCTTAAAAATATTTTCAAAGAGTGGCACAGCGGGATGTCTGTGGACTTACAACGCTAGAAACTGGGTTTCGATACCCGTGGTGGGCAAAGCACACATAGCCCGTTGTGTAGTTTTGTGTTTAACTTCAAAGAAACAAACATTTCAAGGAAACCTTATTTCTATCATAAAGTGATTTTTACCGCATCTACTGTTTCATTTGCTTTATTTAACCCTTTCCTTTCATTTCTTCCAAAACAAAAAAAAGCAATATATATATAAATATATATAATTCAATTTAATTGAGATGTTTCATTACCTTAAAGTGGTTATATTTATCCATCTAATATAATATTGTACATTCTACATCGTAAGTAGCAATCTATTGTTAAATAAACTAGAACTAAAGTTATTGTCTAATATTGCGATTGAATGTAATTTTAACAATAACTGTTATATGAAATAAAGTTCCTTTAAAAAAATGTTGGGTAAAAAATATATATATTATTTTTCAGCCCTGACGGTAGATGGGGGAGGCGTCAATGCCACTGCTGTTCAAGCTGATATTGGAGCAACGAATGGCATCGTCCACATCATAAATCGAGTATTAGGAATGCCATTCCAGACAGTTAATGAAAAGCTGAATACAGATCCAGAACTGAGGTAACTATCAGCTATCTCATTCTAATATATAACAGTATTAATATATAATATAAAATATAGTTTTTCAACAGAGCTTAGTAAAAAAATTACAGTTTCTATCTGGTCGAATCTATGCTGTAAAAAAAAAAGAATATTTTTTCTAATTGTGATTGACAGTATTTATCGATTTGTTGAAGTATAGTATAAAATTAAATAAAAAATACCTATTAGGATATTTTACATATAAATAGTTAACCGCACTTTACTTGAAAGATTGGTGCATGCTAAATCAGTGGTTGGTGTGTCGCCTTGGATACGAATTATGAAGCCATAACCACACGTTTAGTATTTGCATGTTCAGTTCAGTGCGATATCGCCACGGGAACTCATGGAAGGAGGAATTTAAAAAAGTATTGTTAACGATGTAGAGCCAAATAACACGACGTTTCGAAGAAGAGACTTTCAATAATCTTAATGAAACCGCAAAAACTTACAAAGTAGAGCGTTTGGGATAACAACAGGTTCCGAAACTACATTCTGACTCAGTCTAGAGCAACGTCCTCATCCGCATCATTAAGGTTATAGCTACGAAATAAAGCATGATAACCCAAAAGAGCTACTGTGATGAAGCTGGGTATTCCTCGCAGTGCAGTTACAAAGTTATTAAATAAAGGTAACCCAAAATAGCTACTGTGATGAAGCTTGGTATGCCTCGTAGTGCAGTTACAAAGTAATTAAATAAAGATAACCCAGAAGAGCTACTGTGATGAAGTTTGGTATGCCTCGTAGTGCAGTTACAAAGTTATTAAATAAAGATAACCCAAAAGAGCTACTGTGACGAAGCTTGGTATGCCTCGTAGTGCAGTTACAGAGTTATTAAATAAAGATAACCCAAAAGAGCTACTGTGATGAAGCTTGGTATGCCTCGTAGTGCAGTTACAGAGTTATTAAATAAAGATAACCCTAAAGAGCTACTATAATGAATGTGGGCATACCTCGTAGTGCAGTTACGAAGTTATTAAATAAATATTTCAAGCTAACAAAAGTTCCAAAGCCAAAAGCTTATAAGCTCTAAGTTACAACTCCAAATCAATGGCTGTTTCCAAGAGAAAGATGGCGAAAGAAACTATAATGATAATGATTCCTTCTGACCATATACGTGCAAAGTGTCCTGATGCAGCGTCCTTCATGAATTTTTTTTACAATGGATCAGAGCGAGTACATCAAAGATAGAGATGGTAGTTTTATGGGTAGCAAAGGATCTGAAGCATCTTTCTTATAAAGTGCGATTAACCTCATTGTATAAGAAAACTTTAAAAACGAAATAAAAATGGCAAATAATAAGTGATCATTGTAGCATTTCTTTGCCAAAAACAAGAAACAGTATTCACACCAAAAAAATGACAACAAAGAAATCAATGAAACTTTGATGGTTCCAAATAAGCATGGATATCATATTTAAAATAGAAAAGGAGAAATATCTAAAATATATATTTCGTAGAGACATCTCGGATTTGTTTTTTACAAATATTGTACGTACTTTTAATCTCTCTGAATGATCTTTTCTGAACAGAAAATGTATTTATGTACAAATAATACAATTATATATTTGTTTCAAGTTTTCTAAGTTATTTTCATGTTTTTAATGAAAACTGACTTCTTAAAAGTTAATAAATATTGCATGTAGCTCACATTGTCTAACTTTCTAAACCACATATATATTTAAAACAGCTGTGTATATAAACCAGTGTAGGCGGTGGGTGCTGCTGACTGGTTTCATTTTCTCTAGTTTGTTACTTGTAAGTTAGGGACAGAGAGCCCTCGAGTAGATATGTGCATAATTCAACAAAAAAAATATCCCACTAAAATTCAAAATTCTTAACGTTTAGTGACTTAGTGGTATGTCTGCGGACTTACAATGCTAAAACTCTGGTTTCGATACTCGTGGTGGGCACAGCACAGATAGCCCATTGTGTAGCTTTGTGCTTAATTACAAACAGCTAGTATACGATAAAAAAAAAAAACGCACGTCACAAATACTCTAGTTTGTTTTGTGTAAAACAAATTATATGTCTGTTTGGTTTTTGTTCAGGACTTTGCACTTATTTTTATTATCTCGGAAGCTCTAGAATCAAATTTTTACACAGTCAACTAGTATTGTAATGTGGTATGAAACTGTTCAATTATCTTACAAGAAAGTAAAAATGGAAGTAAATTTCGGTATCTTTTTTATTTATAAGAGAGTCATATCAGCTGAGCTTGGTAGATGGCTGGAACAATAAGTTAAAGGACAGGAGGAATAACTTCACGTTTTTCGTGCCCAGTGAAACGGCATGGGAACGATTGAAGGCAGAATACCCCACGGAACACAAACAGATTCACATGGAGATGTACAGTAACCAAGTCAAGAAGGTAACGCTAGGCATCGAATCCTCTACTGACACGGTTATTTAAATAGCGTATTGACCACTACTATTTCTGTCGTATCTCAACCGGCCTGATAAATCCTGGTATTAGGTAATAGGTCTCGTCGGCACTGAATATAGCAGATGTAGTGTGGTTGATGTATTATTACTTTCACTCACGCGTTCTTATAATATGTTTGAGAAACTTAGAAGTAAAATGTTTACCTTTCAATCTGGTTAACGGTGTGAACTTTTTTATTGAACTTTGATGACCTATAACTAAGTTATTCAAAAATGTTTTAACGTACTTTCCAACTCCAGTTTTTTCATGTGAAATAAGTAATATTTATTTGGAAACAAAATCAATTAGTATACATGACTATAAAATAGCCCATAAACAAGATATGTTATTTGTATAGACTATAAAAAAAATTCCACCCTCAGATATTTTCATGCCACAGAGATTCCTGACACCTACTATATTTTCGTATTGAAGCACCTGTCAAAACGTAATGAAACTGCCTTTATCAGTTTCCAAGAGTGCTTTATCCTCTAGTTTTATCGATTAGTATTATACGTGTTCTTCTTCAAATAAATAAGGTTTATTCAACTTCAACTGTCACTTTTCTAGAAAAAAAAATTGTAGAGCCATTAATATTGTTGTAAATAAATAACATTCGTTCGTACTTTTAACGGTAGCGTCGATGAATTATTTGCATAAAATAATTATATTATGTCATTACATTAAAATGGCTCAGTTTTTCTTCACCCTCTCCCTCCACCAGCGGGTCAGCGGTTAGTTTATGGACTTACAACGCTAAAATTCGGGATTCGATTCTATGTGGTGGACACAGCACATATATCCTATTCTGTAGCGTTGTGTTAAAAAAACAAAATGAAACAACCCTCAAATTATGAACCTTGTTTTATACTTGGTCCAAATTTTGTATCATCATATTGAGTAATTTTACGTTTGTCCTTGTTACAACACTCAGTATAAAAAGCTTTCCAAAACTTCGGATGAAATATACATTTTATATATGAAACTGACAAAGGACAGCAGACGTAATTAGTAGGGTTAACTGCAATATTAGTGATATCGTTGTAATGGACTCAAAAACAATCTGGTACATACATATTCATGCCAGAGTTATATGTAAATTACTATGTTTCCCTCGTCATTTGAAAACAGCCATATGCTTAGGATTTTATGCCTTTCATTCATTCATTGTTAAGCCCATATTAGGATATTTATTCGACAATTTTAGAAATACATGAAGTAATGTGCATTTCGGGACAGTTCGCCATTTTTTTTTTTAGGTTTTGTACGTCCCAGAAAAGAAAAAAAAAAGACCGGTAAAATAGTGTCTCGTCAAAAATTAATTAAACTAAACAGATTTAAGTGTAAAATTATAAATACAGAATATATTAATATTAATTTCCCTCAAGTAGATAGATATTCACGATAGACTTAAGGTTGTAAACTGGTTGAGCAGGCATGGTTTGATAGTTAGTGTGTCTGGACTATGAATTCTAGAATCTGTTGTTTTAGGCCCGTTGCTGAAAAGAAAAAAAACGCATTCCAAATTTTGGGGACATTGATGTGTTATAAGAGCGAAAGTCAAATCCCAGTACACGATCAGACAAGAGTAGGGAAAGAGTTGACACGTGGGTATTGTTGACCAGCTACATTCCCTCTAGCGGCATAGCTGTACATCTGCGGAGTTACAACGCTAGATACCCGTGTAGCTTTGTGCTGAACTTCAAACAAACAAACCCTCTAGCGTATAAATTCAAAATTGGGGGCGATTATGCACAGAAAAACCTTATTGTAGCTTTGCACGAAATCGTTAAAATTTCTAAACTTGTCATAAAAGAACAGTGCTGAAAGTTAAGTTTTTATTTTTCAGTCGCGCGTTCTGGTTTGTAAATTCACGACGTATAAATAAAATTGATATAAAAGCCTAATAGCCACCATTCTGCTTTCAGATATTGGATCGGCATCTGGTTGTAGGAGAGGAACTGTCTTCTCAAGATCTGGGACGACATGGACAGGTTAACACAATTTACGGTGTCTTTAAGATTGAAAGTGGATATGGCTATGGTGAGATTTTGATTTGTTTCTTATAACGTAAAACGTTATACAATTAGATAAATGATTGTTTCGCAAAGGGACGAGTTTTTATATTGGTTGAAATTACTACTTTTTTTTTCTTAATTTAGAATTTTGTGTTGATGAAATTTCGATCTCCATATTGAGAAAATAATGAACGTTCCTGAAAAAAAAAAATGTATACTTTTATGAAGTATTTTAATTTTGAAGTTTTTGTTGCTTGATCATTGAAAATAATCTTTTGTCGAACCTTCTTTCAGGAGAACTGTCTGTGGAATGGGAAAATCTCAGGGCTACTATTGTTCGCCCAGATATTCAAGCCACTAATGGATTCATTCACGTCATTGATCGTGTCATGATGAAGCCTCGCGACTTATCGAGAACAGGGGGTAGTGCAACAGTCTCGGTATCAGGAGCTACGGTTTTAGTCAGCTTGGCGCTTTTGCGTAGAATGTAACTTTCCCCTTCCTTGGATTCCCATCCCTCCCAAATGAAACGATAAAGTTTGCGCAGGCTGGCTGTAATATGCGTCTGTTTTCCATGGACGTGAGGAACTTTGGAAATGTATGTTCTGTGGTATTATTAAGAACTTAGTGGAACTACCCCGAAACCATATAAAATGATATCTGATAAAATTGGTATACTGCGAACATGGAAGAGAGGGAGAAAGATATGGGTGACCCGACCTTAGATTGCACATTACACTCGAGAAAAATATACATCAGCTTTAGCTTAGAAATAGGCTTCACACATATAAAACACGCACCATTATTATCTTACCAATTAATCTTCCCACAGAGAAAACATATTTATCTTACTTTACAAATGAAACTTTACAAAGAAAAATACACACTCGTCCTACCTTAGGAATTAGGCCTCACTCAGAAAGAAACACACATCAACACTAATTTAGATATCAGGGTCTACTAGAGAAAAATACACACTCGTACTACCTTAGGAATTAGGCTTCACTCAGAAAGAAACGCACATCAACACTAATTTAGATATCAGGCTCTACGAGAGAAAATACACACTCGTCCTACCTTAAAGATCAAGCTTTAATCATTGAATAACATACACCGCGCTTACCTTACCGATTAAGTTACACACAGAGAAAACATGCATATTTAGTACATTAGAAATTAAACTAAAACACGAAAAACACACACACACACCTACTTAAAAAATGGTTTCA